CTCGGGCCAGACTGCCAGTCGGGCGGGAAGTGGTGATGCCCCCGAGGAAGACCAGGGCTGGACCTAAAAACGGTGTTTTGGGTGGTCTCGTGGGCCGTTGCCGTTTCGACTTCCCTTTTTGGGGTAGAGGCGGATTCGAGACCGCAGCGAGGGACGACGACGACAGCACGAAAACGGAAGACACCGTTGAGGCTCCGCCCTGAGGGAGACGGAGACGCAGCGCGAGGATCGGGCCGGACGAAAGGAGGGGATTGGGAAAGGGGGGGTTACGAAATTTGCTGCATGCAGCTGGTTTCGGCCTCACCGAGGGGCCCATTCCTCGATACATGGCCGCCTCCGGCGCCGGAAGGCGCCGGGAAAATCAGCTACGTGAGCTGATTCTCAAACCCCCCCTTTGCTATCCCCTCCTTTCGCCCGACCCGAGCGCAGCGCGAGGAGGAGGGCCTGGGGGAGGGAGCCAGTGCGCCGCGGGGCACGGGCTCCGGGCGGGCCGGGCGGGGGAGGGGGGGCGCCGCGGCCCTGCGCAGGGCGTGCCCTGCCCGCGCGGGGGGGCCGCGCCCCGGCGGGCTGCGCCGTGCGCTCTCCCGGCCGGCGGGGGCGCGCCCGGAGTCGTCGCGGCGCGCGCGGGCTCGCCGGCAGCAGCGGCGCCAGGAGGCCCCCGCAGCTCCGAGACGATTGCGCGCAGCTCTGGCCACCCGTGCCCGCGTCGGATGCGCCCCGCCACGGGCGCGCCAGGGAAGAGCAGGAGCGCGGGGAGGCGTGGAGCGAGCGTGGGACTCGGCTGGTGGGGTGGTTGGAGGGACCGCGGTCTCGCGAGGCGAGTCTTCCAGCTCATGCGTCTCTTACTGTCTCTTACCCTCCGCCTGGCGGTGGGAGTCAGACGTCGCCAGATGTGCACCATGGACCCTTGATGGGGGATGTGCTGTTTTGTCTGTGTGTGTGCGCGTGTGTGCTGTCTTGTTTTTTTGTTGTTCTCTCTCTCTTTCTCTCTGCCTCTCCCTCGTTATCTCTCTCTCTCTATTACCCTCTAACGTCCTCTCTCGATTTGTATATAGTATCTCACTCTCTCCTCTCCTCTCCCTCTCTCTCTCTCTCTTTGTAGTTCTCTCTCATCTATCCTTTATAGTTATACTTTTATGTATTTCTCCCCTCTCCTCTCTCTCTCTCTCTTTATCGCCCTCTCTCTATCTCTCTGTTTATCTCTTTCTCTCGCTTCCTTTCTCCTCTCCTCCTTCTCTCTCTCTCTCTCTCTAAGTTCCCCCGCTCTCTGTGCTTATTTCTTGATATATCCATCTCTATCTCTCTTTCTCTCAGTCTCTCTCGTTATGTCAGTCGTTCTTTATTTTCTGCGTTTTTTCGTTATACATGTCTTAATGTCTCTCTCTCTCTATCTTTCTCCCTTTCTCTCTCTCTCTCTCTCCCCCTCTCCCTCCCCCTCTCTCTCTGTCTCTTTCCCCTGTCCTTTCTCTCCTCTCTCTCATTCTCGTGTTCCTGTTTTTGTGCATGTGTCATTTTGTTGTTCTGTCGCTGGCCGAGTCCTCGAGGGATTCCTGTGCAACAACCCAGGTCCCCGTGCCCTGCTCTGGGATGGACCCCCCTCCTCGCCCCCTCTCCGTCTGCCCCCCAGTCGCCCCCCCACCCCCCTGGCCGAGGACTCTGCTCGAGTGAGCGGGCATCTACCAGGAGAGGAAAAAACATACAGACACGCGCAATGCTCGATTCCCGGCGAAGTGTGGCGAAACATGGGAAGTGGGAGGGGAGACGAACTCCCCGAAAATATAGCAACATTTTTGGAGTCCATGGGTTTGTGTGTGTATTTGTTTGTGCCTCTGGGCCCCTGCAGTCTCACTGTGCAAGCCCCAGCTATGAGAGGTTTGGCGAGGCCGCTGCTGCCCGAGCTCGTGCGCGCTCCGCCGCGACCGCGACCGCGACCGCGACCGCGACCGCGCTGGCGCGCTTCCGCCCCGGGGCGCTGACCTCGCGCGAGCACGGCTGGCGGGGCAGCGCTGCGACCCGCAGGCGGCATGCCAAGACGACGCCAGGGCGAGGACATGGGCGGGCCAGGATACGTCGATCATCTCTGGGACCCGCCAGCTCTGAGAGCGTTTCCGGGACGCCCTGGAACTGAGTTCTCCTCGTCGTGGCCCCGTGCGACGTGCCTCGCCGCGCGTGGATGCCAGCGGTGGGGCGCCGCGGCGGAGCTGCGCGCGCGGGGGGGGGGGGGGGGCGGCGGCCGCCTGCGGGTGGCGCCCCGCGACGGGGGGCCCTCTGCGGCCGCGCGGCCGGCGACTCCACCTTGAAGCTCGCGCGCTGTATCTCCTGCGCTCGTTCGGCCCGCGGCTGCGCGGCGGCCAAGGCGAAGCGGCCGCGCCCCAGCGGGGGCCAGCGGCGCGCGGCAGCGCCGCGGGCGCAGGGCGCTGGCGTTCTCTGGGCGTCCGCCTCTGTCCGCGGATCACTGGCGATAACCGCGGGGCGTGCGGCGCCAGCATGGGGCGCCCCGCGGCGCCCCGCGGCGCAGCGAACCGTCTTCGCGACACGTTCGCCGCGCGGCCCGGGGCGGCAGGTGCTGTTGCGAGCCCCGCTGCGCCGCGAGCTCGCGGCGCTGCGTCAGCCCCCCAATCGCGGCGGCCAAGTGCCCCGGGTGGGGTTCCTTGCCGCCCTCGACGCGCGGCGCCTGCTCGGGTTCGGCGAGGCAGGGGGCCCCGCTGGCCTCGCAGGCCAGCGGGCTGCAGCGTCCGCGAGGGAGGCTCAGACCGATGGAGGTGGGCTGCTACCAGGGGAACAACAAGTGACATAAACATAAAAACTCTCGCGCCAGGGAGGGGGGTCCAGCGCCGATCCGAGAAATCCGCGCGGACCTCCCAGTTTTTATGCTTACGCCACTTTTTTGTTCCCCTAGTTACCAGCCTGGCTGGTAGCGTCGGAAACGACTGGCGGTGACCTGCAGCGGTGGGCGGCCCTCCGACCGAAATGTCGCGGCGTTCGCTCCCCGCGCGCAACGGCTGTGCCCCGGCGGCGGAGCCGTGCGCATGTTGGCGGCCACCAGCACGAATCAGGAGGGGAAACACACACAGACACAATTAATCCTCGATTCCCCAGAAAATCTGGGAAAATACGGGAAGTGGGGGGGCAGACAGAAACCCAGAGAATATGGGAAAATATGGGGAATAGTTTTATTTGTGTGCACATTTTTGTGTGTCCTGTGGCCCCTTCAACGAGGTGCGGCCACCCGCAGGCCCGCGGACAGTCCGGCTGGCTGCGCTGGAAGCGCGGGCGCAGCGGGAGATCGGGAGCGGAAAAGAGGGGGGTGACGATTACACCTTAGGCGATGCTTAAGAAAACTTTTTTTTTCGGCCAGACTCTCGATTATTCTTAATGTTTCAATGTAAATCCTAAGATTTGAATGGAATTTTTGGGTTTTTATTCAAGTTCTGAGACTCTGAATTTCTTAACCCATGATTTCTTAAGCATTTCGCAGGGTGTAGGGGGGGTGGATATCATGGCGGGGGCCATGATATTTCCTCAGATTTCATGGCGCCTCTTCTTATTCCATTGCGTCCCTGGCCCCCCCGCTGGGCCGCGCACGTGCCGCCGGTAATGATTTGCACCCCCCCCTCTTGGACACCCCCCTCTTGGCCGCTCCCGAGGAGAGGTGGGCAGCAGGCGCTTCTCAGTCGGCGACCCAGTCGCTCGCCAGGACGGCAGTCACCGGCGCGGGGAGGCGCCGCGAGCCATGGAATTGATGCCGGCGCGAGGTGACGGAGCGGTCGCCTTGACCCCCAATACGGTGATGCGCATGCGTTCGAGTCAGACCGCCATGTGCAGTGGCAGTTCCCCAAAGCGTTTTTTTGTTTTTTTCTGTGTGACGAACGTCCACCGGCTCGGCCCAAAAAGCAACCAACCAAACAATGAATGTTTGGTTTGTTCGGGGTTTCCTCCCTCACACCTCCTGGTTTCCAATCCTTCCCCTCCTCCAATTCCTGTCCGTCTCTGCTCCTCCTTCCCCTCCTTCTCAGTTCTCCTCCTCTTCCGTCCCTTCGACCTCGGCTTCTTCACCCCTCCTTGTCTTTTCGTTGTTTGGTTTCTCCCTCGTCCCTCCGTCCAACCTTGCCGTCCTCTCTCCCCGCCCTCCCCTCTATAATTTACCAGTGCGGTATGTTTTTCCACTGACCAGTCGCTGTCGGGCCTTTTCCGCGTGTTGATGCCTTGCGTTCGGGATCGAAACAACAATGTTCAACCGACGAGTGGATTCGGCCTGCGTATCCATATCCACGGCCTCGCGGGCCGATCCCTTGCACCTTCGCATGGGTGCGTTGTTCCTGTTCCGCGGATGCCTTGCGCGGAGCGTATCTATGCGACCGCGTATCCACGGGATCGCATCCCGGTGTCCAGACCGCGAGGGGCTAGATACGGATGTTCGATATGTGCGCCGCTCGTGACGAACGGCGTTTTCGCCTCGGCGCCTGCCGGCGATCGGAAAAACGAGGTGGAACGATCCACATGGTGTCGGAATCCAACGCACGGGGCATCACGACACGAATCTGCTGCAGGATGCCAAATGTGGTGCGAGCACGCCTGCAGGTAAAACGCCGGGCGGTTCATCCTTTGGGATTCAGGAGAGGTTTGCTTTCGGGCCGCTCTTCGAGCCTGGGTCGGGGGACCTGTTCGTGGCCCAAGCTCGCCGTAGACAGAGAACAAACGTGTGCTCTTTGCCCGGCGCTACTGCAGGCAGCGCTAGTTTCGGGGCTGGACAGACCTCCTCCTACCCTGACACGTCGATTGAGGAATTGGCTGTTTTCGGTTCGCGAGAGGGCGTCGCGGCCGTCATTTTTGCGGGTCCAGGTCCGCTGGTTTCGGTCCTAAACCGTTTTCACTAAAGGGAGGTTTACTAAGGGGAGGCTTGTCCACCGCCGATAGTTGTCGCTTGCCTCCTCTCCTTTCCTTCCGACCATCTTGGCGTTTCCCTCCTTCGGCCAGGGGGGTTGCGGCCCCGGCGCCAGGTGTGGATGAGGCCCCCGATCATCCGCACGCTGGAGGCGCCAGCGCCCGCCTGCGCGCACCCCCCACCTGGCAGGAAGCAGAGGAGCAGGGGGAGGAGGAGGTGCAGTGCAAACCCAAAGCGCATCAACGACGTGGAATAAGCCCCCCGTCCACGTTGGCACATGTATGTGTATCAAGAGGTATATCGAATCCACTGGAAGACAACCAGTTATGGTAATCCCCAGTCGCGCCACAACGCAATTGTTGGGACTTCAGCGCTGCGAGTCGGCGTGACTGCGGCGTCCCTCCCAACTCGCGTCAGAACACCGCCCTCGGGACGTCAACACAGCGAATCAACGTCAGTGTTGAGCCCTGACGACCCTAAATCGTGCGGTCCACCATTCCTGGGATTTCAGCCAGGCGAGTTCTGTAAATTGTGGCAAGCTTTTAAGACACATGTGCGCGGCGCCAAAGCGAGAGCCACATTTTGAAAACTGCCCACCGTCCATCAGTAATCATGCAGCAAACCTCTCAAACAACTATAGTGCGCGCGGCTGTTAGATGGGAGCCACATGTTGAAAACCACCCGCCCTCCATCAGTGAAGGTGTCCGACTTTGAAGGCAAATGCGCGCAGCGCTGCAAGCGACAGCTGCATTTTGAAAGCCACCCGCTTTCCATGCGTGAAGCGGATGACAAGTTTCAAGGAACACGTGCGCAGCACGATGGCGAGAGCCACGGTTTGAAAACAGTCAATCGCCCCCCACGAGTGAAATTGCCACACAATTGAAGCTTCAGGTTTTTGCAAGATGTGAGTCCCAAGCGAACGTCCGGCCCGCCGTAGCAACACGTCTTGGGGTTCGACAGGGAGGAGGTATTCAGAAGTGGACGGGATTGACGAGGAGAAGGGGGTGCAGGAGGAGGAGGAGGAGAAGGGGTCAAAGGCATTGGGCGGCGGCGCGGGGAACCCGGGGGCCCGCGGCCGAATGCGCACTCATGCTTGTTTTCTTCGACTCTCTTCGGCAAACCGCGCCAGAGGCCCCAACGGGCGCAGTTCTTGCCCCCCTCGCGCGGCCCCTGCTTAGAGACCGGGCGCTCGGGCCGGACACGAGGTAGCGGCTGCTCTTGGGGGGCCAGTGCCGCGGGGTTGCGCCCGCACCAGGCCCCATTCTTCAGCGCTTCGGGACCGCAGAACGCCGCAGGAGAGGGAAGAGAAGGAGGAGAAGAGGGAGGAGGAAGAGGAGGAGGAGGACGAGGAGGAGGAGGATGGGGAGAAGGAGGAGGAGGCACAAGAGCAGGAGGAGGATGAAGTGGATGGCAGTGGCGTCGAACAGGGGTATTGGAGGACTATGGGTGTTTTTTTGTGTGCCAGTGCTGGGAGTCTGAGCTGGTTTAGTTCAGTGGCCTTTTCATCTGGCCAAGTATCAGCGGGCGAAAAACGGTATAACATTAACTTTGTCCGCCGTCGGGGACGCCTGCCCCTTGGCGGCTGGAAAGTTTATACCCCTATGGTGCCACAGTAAGGGTATAAACTTTCCAGCCGCCATGGGACAGGCGCCCCCGACAGCGAACAAGTTTATTTGATTCCGTTCTTCGCCCGTTACAAGCACCCCCTTTTCTCTCTTGCGATGGGCGCGCAGAAGTGATTTCCGAACCCCTTCATCTCCCCCCCTTTGCGCATGTGCCTCGCGCCATGGTGCGGCCCCCCCCTGCTTTCCGCTTGCCCTCCGCAGCGCGCACCCGAGAAGGCGACGGTGGCGCGGTGGCCACCGACCAGTATTGGAGGACGACGGCTTTTTGGCAAGTGTTCCAACGATCCCTTGATATTATATTCAATTCCCCAATCAGTGCTTTCACTGAAGGGGTCCTAGCGGATCTTGAAGGATCTGGCGAAAGTCGGCAGCCGATGTCGGTGGGCCGCCAGGTTTCCCGGTTCCGAGTTTCCGGGTTCCCGGTTCCGAGTTCCGGGTCGATTACGTTGGGCGGCGGGGTTCCCAGGTTTCCAGGTTCCCAGATTCTTGGTCGATCTCTTTATCGATCGGTCTCACTTTCGATATCATTACCCACCTCTATCGATCTCACTATCGATCTCATGATACCAGGGAAAAGCCCAATCAGTAGATGGTTTAAACATTCATGTTATGGACATCGAGATCGATTGTAGGATCGATGCTGAGATCGGAAGTAGGATCGAAAGCGAGGACAATTGTAAGGCCGATCGTGGGACCGATCGTGAATGCGATTCAGTGAGATCGAGAGTGAGATCGATTGTGAGATCACTCGTACGATCTGTAGCTTGATCGATTGCGAAATCGACAGTCAGACCGAATGTGGTACCGACAGTAAGATCGGTCTCACCATCGATCGCATTACCCACCTCTATCGATCTCACGATCGATATCATGACAGGTAATAGGATCGATAGTGAAATCGGAAATGGGTCGACAGTGAGGGCGATCATAAGGCCGATCGTCAGACCGACGGTGGAGTCGATTCAGAGAGATCGAGGGTGAGATCGATCGTGAGACCGCTCGTGCGATCTATAGTCAGATCGATTGTGAAATCGATAGTCAGATCGATTGTGAGACTCACAGTGACATCGATAGACAGGTGGGTAATGTGATCGATGGTGATACCGACCCCACGATCGATATCACATTCGATTTGACGATCGATCCCACAATCGATACAACCATACATCGCACGACCGCCGATCTCACGTTCGACCTCATTGAATCGATTTTACTATCGGTCCCACGATCGGCCTTACACTTGTCCGCACTATCAATCCCACTTCCGATCTCACCATTGATCTTAATCGCAATGCCCATATCATCAGTTTTCAAACCATACACTCATTGGATTCTTTCTCTGGAGTATTTTTTTCGGGCTCGGGGGCGAATCGAGGGGATTCTAGAGCCCCAAACAAATTGGGGGAGGAAGACGACGACAAAATCGTCGACGACAATTGCAACTGCAGCGGGGGCACGCGTCGACCAGCCCAGGCCTCAGAAAAGAGAAACGGCCGATCGTCAGGTTGGGTCTTCCTGCAGGTTGGACATCGGGACAAAGGGTGGGGGCGACGGAGCAGGATGACGACGAAGAGGAGGGTAGGGAGGAGGAGGAGGACGAGAAGGAAAAGGAGGAGGAGGAGGGGGAGGAGCAGGAGGAACAGGAGGAACAGGAGGACGAGGAGGAACACGAGGGGAAACGCAAGGGCCATGCAGCAACGAAACGCCGTTTGAAGCCGGCGGCGCCCGCAAGATCAGAGGAGGCGAGGCCTTTTGTGGGGAGGAGGAGCCGGCGTGCTCACCGACTCCCGAAAAGGTGGGACGGGGCCCGCGGGCCTCCCCCGCACAAGCCCAGCCCCGCAAATGAGCGGTCAGGCGACCATTGCGCCCCAGAGGCACCAGCACCCGTGCCCACCCACTGTCGGGGCCAGCGCCCAGCCAAGGCAGCGTCGGTGAACCAGCGGCGGCCCGCTGACGGCACGCCCGGACAGGGCCTGAGAAGAGTGCGCCAGCTCGGCGCTTCAACTCCCGCGTGCGCGCCGTAGCGCTTGCACAACATGTATTGGGCAGCGGCCTGGGCGGAGTGTCCAAGGTGCCCGGAATGCTTCTGAAGGTCGGATAGTCGACGCTTCAGCCAGGTCGTACCCAAGGCCAGCCACGGCTGCACGCACAGCATTGCTACGCGCCTTACGGAGGACTCTTCCATGCCTCTCCGCCCGCACATCTTCCTAACAAGGTGGCAGGGCGACGGGTCGCACCTGGCCCCTGGTTGCTCTAGCTTCAGCCTGGTCATCGCCATCTCGGCCGAGCTGTGGCACCATGATCGACCTCCTCGAGGCCGTGGGGAATTCAAACGAGGTGGGCCGAATGGATTGCGGGCCTCTCGGTCGCCTCGGGCCCGGGACCGAGGCACTGGCCATCAGCTGGGCCGCTCGAGACACAATAACACGCGCGACATGAGTCGCCATGGTTCGCTCGCACTGCGGTGGCCGTCGCCTCCGAGGTTTTGATGTGACCTGCGCCAGTTTTAGCGGACAAAGTCGGTCCGTGCTGCCCCATGGAAATTGAAGGCGTAGGGGACCGCAGAATCCTCAGATAACGTCTGGCCCTGCAGAGTGACCTCGAGCTCGCCGCGCGCGGGCGTCCACCTGTGCCCGGGTCTCAGGTCTGCCTTCGTGGAGCTTGAACACTTGCCCCCGCGCGCTCGCATGCTCGCCGCTGCCGCGCGCGAGGTCTGGACTCGATCGACTACCCTCGCTCACTGCCGAAAGATGATATAGAGCTACGTCCGCTGCCCCCCCCCCCCCAGGGGGCCGCGCGCGTCGCCTGGGCGACGGCCTGGCGCCCGGCCTTTGGGGTCGTCTGGCACGCCCCGCTAGGACTTCCACGGCCCGCGCTGGCCAGCCTCGGGCCCAACAACCGACCTGCCGCGCTGGGCGAGTTCAAGGATTCCGTTCGCCTGGCCAGGCCCGCCCGCGAAAAGGCGCCCCCCACAGGAGCGAATTCGCGCATCCATCGGGGCTGTGCAGAAGCTCGCGGAAGGGGCCCCAGGCGCCCACGCGCCAAACCCAGGGCGTCGAAGTCGGGGGGGCTCGCTGAATCCTGCAAGTTTTGAAATGTTCAAAGACACTGTCTGGAACCGGACGCGCAGCCTAAGGGTCGCCCCCCCTCGCTGCCACGCCTTTTCGCACATGTAACAAGGGCAAACAAGAGGTGCCTCTGGCCTGCTTGCAGTGCTGGCGCCAGTCGCTATCAGCGCAACCGCGCTCGAACTTCCTGGCCGGGGGCCCGCGCCCGGCTGCCATCCGAGCCCGCAGGCCCCCCCTGCGCGCGGTATTTTTTTCCGAGTTCACCCCGGGCCTGAAAGCTCGATCCCGCGCGCGATTAGCCCCGTGCGCCATGGGGGTCGAGGCCTCATTTTGCTGCGCTTGAGCTCGCGCGACGTCTTCCCACATCTGCGACTTGCGTCGCAGCGCGAGGTTTGGAAGAGACAGAATGCGTCTCCCCGGTGCGCCTGGATAAGGCGCGGCCTGCCAGTTGCCGGCCG